GTCAAGTGTGTCCACAGAAACCAACAACCACTGAGAGATGCTCTGGGCCTACAGAAAAGGAACATCACCATGCCAACCACAGCTGAGCTGGAGAAACTGCAGAAGCTGGAGGCACTACTGGAGCCCTGCAGGTAATACTTTTTATCTATTAGTGTTAGAATAAGATGTTGTTTGTGTGTGTGTATGTGTGAGAGAGCAAGTGTGTAAAGTGTGTGTGTGTGAGAGAGACAGAGAGAGAGAGAGAGAAAGAGAGAGAGAGAGAGAGAGAGAGAGAGAGAGAGAGAGAGAGTCTGTGTTTAACAAGTCTCTCACAATTGACTGAAGTGATTTTGAATTATCTTTCACTGCAGGTACTTGACTGAACCTCTGGGAGGAGAGAAGTACATTTCCTGCTCAGTGGTGTTGCCTGCTTTGTGTAATCTCCTTTGGGGGATGGAGAGCTCAGATGATGACCCTGCCTACATGGTAAGATTCAAGCTGACATTCACAACAGACCTGGAGAAACGCAAGGAAAAAACCAACCTCACATGGCTGAAGATCGCCACAGCACTCGACCCAAGGTTTAAGGACCTGAAGTGCCTTCCCAGACCTGAGAGGGCTTTGGTCAGAAACTTGCTGAAGGAAGAGAGGCCTGCACAGCAACCTGATAAAGCAACAGAGTCAGAGCCACCAAAGAAGAAAGCTGCCCTCTTGTTGAGTTCCTCTGAGTCTGATTCTGATGAAGAGGAGGAGTCCATTGAGAAATGTGTTGAGTGTTACAATGCAGAGCCCAGTATCAACATGGAGGACTGTCCACTACAGTGGTGGTCACAGCATGCAGGGGCACACACCGGGCTGGCCTGCATTGCACGAAGTTACCTGGCAACGCCTGCCACATCAGTACCTTGTGAGAGGTTGTTTTCACTCTCTGTGCATATCGTACAAAGAAGAGAGCAGCTTTATCATCTGAAAATGTCAACAGGCTTGTTTGTCTTTGCAACTGGCTCAGTGAAAAGAAATAGGAGGAGGACTGAAGTGCATGGTTACAGGTTTATGTTCTGTGGAATTCATGACATTGTTGGACAGGTTTATGCTCTTTGTATCCATAGAGACACATTTTTTTCTTATAGCCAATCAGTAATTGGGAAAACAATCATTTGGAATGGCTGAAGCTTTAACTGTGTGTGTGTGTGTGTGTGTGTGTGTGTGTGTGTGTGTGTGTGTGTGTGTGTGTGTGTGTGTGTGTGTGTGTGTGTGTGTGTGTGAGAGAGAGAGAGAGAGAGAATGTATGAGAGAGCATTAGTAGGCCTACTGGGAGCATTAGTAAGTTCCAGGACTTTTGTATTGTCTTAACTTGTTCATGATGAATATGCCATTAAAAGCATTCTGTTGCCATAAAAACATTCCAGTCCCTACATGCCTATAACTTAATACACTGCTTTTTTTTATAATGGAAAAATCTTATTTAGCACCAAATTTGAGCAAATAAGAAATTAGCGATTAATCGTGATTAACTAGAGAATTTAATGCGATTAATCACAATGAATTATTTTAAACGTTTGACAGCCCTAGTGTGCATGTTATGTGTTTATAGGCTTATGTAGTGTGTGTGTTGGGGTGTCAGTGTAAGTATATGTGAGTGTGCAGGTATTGTCCAGTGTGTGTGCATAGTCAGTGCAAGAGAGTTAGTGCAAAAAAGGGTCAATGCAGGTAGTCCTGGTAGCCATTTGATTAGCTATTTAGCAGTCTTGTTTGGAAGTCTTACGGCTTGGGGGTAGAAGCTGTTCAGGGTCCTGTTGGTACCGCTTGCCGTGCAGTAGCAGAGAGAACAGTCTGCGGCTTGGGTGGTACTGGGCCATACGCACTACCCTCTGTAGCGCCTTGCGGTCAGATGCCAAGCAGTTGCAATACCAAGCGGTGATGCTGCCAGTCAAGATGCTTTCAATTGTGAAGCTGTATAACTTTTTGAGGGCCCATGACAAATCTTTTCAGCCTACTGAGGGGAAAGAGGCGTTGTCGTACCCTCTTCACGACTGTGTTGGTGTGTTTGGACCATGATAGATCCTTAGTGATGTGGACACCGGGGAACTTAAGGCTTTCGATCCGCTCCACTACAGCCCCATTGATGTGAATGGGGGCGTGCTCGGTCCTCCGTTTCCTATAGTCCACAATCAGCTCCTTTGTCTTACTGACGTTGAGGGAGAGGTTGTTGTCCTGGCACCACACTGCTAGGTCTCTGACCTACCCCCTATAGGCTGTTTCATCGTCGTCAGAGATCAGGCCTACCACTGGCGTGTCGTCTGCGAACTTTATGATGGTGTTGGAGTCGTGTGCGGTCACACAGTCGTGGGTGAACAGGGAGTACAGGAGGGGACTAAGCACGCAACACTGAGGGGCCCTCGAGTTGAGGGTCAGCGTGGTGGATGTGTTGTTGCCTACCCTCACCACCTGGGGGTGGCCCGTCAGGAAGTCCAGGATCCAGTTGCAGGGGGAGGTGTTCAGTCCCAGGGACCTTAGCTTAGCTTTAGCTTTGAGGGCACTATGGTGTTGAATGCTGAGCTGTAGTCAATGAACAGCATTCTCACGTAGATGTTCCTTTTTTCCAAGTGGGAAAGGGCAGTGTTGAGTGCAATAGAGATTGCGTCATCTGTGGATCTGTTGGGGCGGAATGTGAATTGGAGTGGGTCTAGGGTGTCTGGTGTTGATGTGTGCCATGACCAGCCTTTCAAAGCATTTAATGGCTACAGATGTGAGTGCTACGGGGCGATAGTCATTTAGACAGGTTATCTTGGCATTCTTGGGCACAGGGACAATGGTGGTCTGCTTGAAACATGTAGGTATTACAAACTGGGTCAGGAACATGGTAACCATGTTAACAGTCTGATGTTTAGACAAAACAAACAATGAAAAGCCACACAAGGACATCTTGGCCAACTTGTAATGCTTTACAAAGCAAGTAGCAAGCAAGGTATCACGCATTATACAATGGGTGGGTCTAATTTTGAATGCTGATTGGTTAAAACCGCGTTCCAGTCGGTGTCTATTCCACAAGGTACCACCAGCTAAGGCTATGACACAGACAGAAGGGGTAACCCAGACAAGTCACATGGGCTATAAAGCTGAAGCGTTAGAACGTTCTCACCACCAAATATGGTAGTGAGAGGAAGTCCAGTCGGGGGTAGTGGGAGAGGAATGGAACTAGGTGAAACTGGGCCGAAACTTCTGCTAATTTTCTCATTAATGAAACATCTGATCTCAATACATTTTTCTGTTCCCAAAACTAGCATCTGTTACGGACACAGTACAGTAAGTTTTATTGACTTGAAGCTTTGCCAAAGTTTTAAAAAATGGCGTTGTTTAGAAGGAGTGCAAGGTCGAATTGAGTTTGTGCACACAGTAAACTTATGCAAATGTTTGCTACAACACGCCAATAGGATCTCACTAGCCCGTGCTTCACTTTGCCCACCATGCTTCATTTGTTTCCCACTGTAAACAACATCAATTAACTATATTGGGTTAGTTATATATAGATCTTCGATTTGAACCGTCATCCAACTCAGAATTCAAACTCGGGCCTCTTCCTCGAGCACCGACTTTCCGACCTAAAGATCACTGACGTCATGACTTAACCTCGTGTTTTTCCGAGTTCTCAGTTGTTTTGAACGCGGCATCATTTCACTTGCTCTGTGTATTTTGAACTTTGAACGGAACCGCGAGAAGATTTGGACAAAGCCGATTGGATGGTAAAGCCCAATGACGTGTTCAAACGTGTAGTCCTAAACAAGAAACTCGTTTGAAAAATGAAAAGTATTTTTCATTAAATGTCAACTATTTACGGCAGACTCTAAAACTACTCAAATGTAATACTTCCCTAAAAAAAAAAGTGTCCATTTACATTTCAACATTAGGACTACATTTACCATGTCATGTGGCTCCTGCGCGCTCACTGACTATACCGGGAAATTCCGCAAGACTTCCTGGTTGACCAATGGATTTTTCTGGCGAACCAAATCTTAGAAAAATGTAGTTCTATTTTTATTTGTAAAATGGCACTTTACTATACTGTGATGGCAAGGTGATACCAGTAGTGACCGTTCAACCAGGTTGCATTGCTTTCTAAATGCGGCGAAATGGACAACCGTTGTTATTGTTGTGCATCAAAGTTCACTCTCTTCAGGTCAAAGTTCACTCTCTTCAGGAAAGTGGTTTGCTTGTGCCCCCTACCCTACTCCTTTTAAGTTTTTGTAGTTGGAGATTTTACCTCATGCCATTGTCAAATTATCTGGTACAGGTTCAAACGTCTTGTTTTATGTTTTGATTGTCATCCTTTACAGTTGGGCTGTGAGAACTGCAGGCGTTCCTTTTGCTCGGGTTGTGCCTAGCTGTGGCAACACCCAGCAGAAGGTCTGCAAGCAATCGTCATGGGAATCTCACAAGGTGGAGTTATGATGTAGCTTTGCACCAAAGCATTAGGACTATGCAATATCATGATATTTGATGGACTGGTCTTGCTTGCTCACTGAATAATATTTTGTCGGTGGAGAAAACCAAAATAATACGTCAAGATGCTCCCAGCCTGAAAACTACAAAAAGTGAGTACAGATGGGTTGTTAAGTTGACTGTTTGCTACATATTGTTTATCGGTAGATATCATAACGCCTTTTATATTGTGTTTGCTCAGGCGTGTTGCTGCACTTGAGGCCAAACAAGGACGACTGATACCATCCCATGGACCAGAGGGCAGCAGAAATGCCAAACTAGGCCTCATTCCAACCAAAGGTCTGAGTTAAGAGGACCTGGCCATCGCTGAGGCAGCAAAAGCTGAAAGAGGACACTAAATGAAGTGAGCACTCAGCACCACTGAGTACTGTCTAACACACTATGTTCCAATAGGCTATATCTTTACTGATACCTGAACTTATACCTTATGCCTTTTGTTTAGAGTCCTGTCAGAAAAATAGATTTAATCTCGTCTGGCTGCCCTGAAGCCTCCTATCCAGCCTGTGCCCTCTGCATGGGAGATGGAGGACCGCCTGGCAGCCTTACAGGGAAGACCTCCTCCCTCCCAAGCCCCTCCACCTGTGAGTCCCAGCATTAGACTACACATATTAGACTAAAACTTGCTGTGTTGCTGCTGTTTGACCTCATATTCATGCTGTATCCAAATCCTTCAGGTCTTAGTGAAGCCCCATTGTTGCAGTAAGTTCGTTTTGTGGCTCTGTGCAGGTACACCAGCCCCTTGATGTTCGGACCCAGACAGAAGAAGCCAATGATCTGATCACTCAGTTGTTAGAGGAAATTGACATAGACACCCAACAACCAAATCCCGAAGGTATTTGGATTCTTCCCCCCTGTAACTGTACCAACTTCAATTAAAAAGTGGTATGTGTGAGGTATTACTGATTTGGTCAGTAGTTTAATCTTTATTCAAAGAGAACAATTCAATGGCTTCCTACTCTATCAAGCTGCTAAGTTCTGTTGTAAATGCTAAATCTATTTCCCAACCATCACCTTGTTTCTATTCCAGGTGTGGACGGCCCCATGAATGACCTGAACAAACAGGAGGGGGACCGGCTGGAGGAGAACCTGGATAATGGGGGTGGGCTGCAGGATGCAGCCAGGCAGCTGGAGGATGAGAAGAACCGCCTGCTGGCAGACTCCATGGAGGATCTGAGACAGGACCGCTGCTCCCAGGAACAGGTCCTATAGATGTCCAAAAGGCTTGCCCAGCTCAAGGGACAGGACCATGACAAGGGTAAATTACTAATTGTAGATTGTTTCCCATATAAATACTTAATATAGCATCACACCTTAGCTATGAGAGAAATGGAGGAGAGGAAACCCTATTTCAACATTCACTGGGTGCTATGTGTGAATGCCTCAGTGTGGTCACGTGTTTACTTGTTTAGGTGATGTCATATGTGTTGTGTTATGTTTTCTAATGTTGTGCTGTAACAGTGTTCTGTCATGTTGTGTTTCAGTCACCATGGAGGACTTCCAACACCCTGACAGCAAGGACAAGACTGAGAAAGAGGCCATAACGAAGACACTGAAAAAGGTCCGCAACTAAAAGGAGAACCTACTTTAAATATGCACTCTCAAAGGATACTTTGTTCTTTTACATTCCTACCCATGGTGGGGATCAGAGTATGTGAGCGAGGAGCGGAGTGTGCCCAATTTGACTGGAGCGAGATTCCCAAAGGCTGGAGCGTCGGCCTTCTCGCCCGCTCCAATTTCGCTCCAGTAGCGCTCACTTCACGAGCTCAGGGCATGCCCGGCCCAGCATGCATTTGTAGTCTACTTGTGTGCTACTATAGCCCCTTGCTTTAGCTACTGTCATTTACTCCATATTTTCATAAAGAAACTGATAAAACACACAGGTGCTAAATCAAGGTGACATACAAAGATGAGGACCAAGAGCAAGAGAGGGAGTGTGGTGATGTAGTGTCCACAACTAAATAATTATCATGGAATCTGAAAAGACACATCCCAAAAGAATGATGGTGTACTTACTACATGCACATGCTAAAGGAATGAGGTGGGTAGATAACTAAGTGTGTCATTGTAGCAAAGTATTTATAAACTAAAAATAAGATCTCTTAAAAGTTTTGTTCATTTTTGTTCTATTATCTATATATTAGGCCATACTTTTGGCCCAAAAGGCCTGGTGTATTCCCACATTCAAGGAGCTTTCTGTTTTGATTGGGTTATTTTGCCTAAAAACCTTTAGGCCTACCTATAGAAAAATAAAAACAACAACTCTGCATCTCTGCCCAGCCTGGCAAGAGAGGCCAAAAGGCTCTGCAAGTGTTGAGAGGATATTCTCCGCTGCTGGCCGGCTTGCCAGGCACCATCGCATGAGCCTGAAGCCACAGACTGGCCACACTCGTGTTTCTAAAAATGAATTCAAAGGCACTAATAAGTCATTTTTTGTTTAATTTGTATTTAATTCTAATTAACTCACAGCCTATATGTGCAATTTATAGACTATAATGATTTAATACAACGAAATGTTGTTTAAATGCTGCACACTTTATGTCCCTACCAGCCTATTGTGTCGCACTCGCAAATGCTTCACAATGTATTTCTTTGTAGGCTATAGCCTTGAAATAATATAAATAATATAGCCTAAATAATTCGTTTTCGTTCTTAGGCTCCCTGTCTGGCTCCTGACCTATTTAGAGTGTTTTTATATGCCGTTTAATGACATCTAGCCTATTTAAAATGATGTTCGCTTCATACATTCACCTTTTCATGTTTATTCAAATACTTTTCATTGAAATCCATATGGTTTGGTTTCAATACTTAAAAAAACAATTGATAGGTCCAGGTAGTCACAGAAATAGATGGGTGTGGGTTAAATTGTGATTTTTTTTCCTGTGAGCGTGGAGCGGTTTTTAGTGGAGCGGAAGGAGAGGACATGGAGTGCTGGAGCGGTGAGCAAGCACTGCTCCATGAGCGATGAGCAGGATTTCCAACCGCTCAACTCCGCTCACTTACTCTGGTGGGATGCATACCAACCAAATTTTAGATAGTGCTACTTTTCATAACCACAAGAGGCTGCTGCTTTGTCATTTTACTTATAAATATCATAATTGAAAGAGACAATTGAACCTATGATCTGGTAACAATGTGAATAGGAATGATAAAGCATATTGTGGCAATTATTAACTCATTCCCAGCTCATGGAAGAAGCTGCATTGGATGAGGCCAGTGGCTACAACATACCTCCTGAGCACAGTGGCCCAAGGAACACAGAAAAGACAGCCGCCCACAAGAAACAGGTAATAATCCTGCAGTCCTCTTTGAACACATATAATTCGAAGGCTGCATTTACACAGGAAGCCCAATTCGTATCTTTAGACAATTATTTGCATATCTGATACCTATCAGATTTTTCCCCTAATGTGTAAACGGCAAAGAAACACATGGAATCTGATATTTGGACTTCCAATTCATACCACCTCCTTTTGTGGACCTCAATCCTGAAACAAACTCGATCCTCCATATGCAACCTTTGTCTGGACTCTCAGATCAGATATTTTTTTGCTCCTAAGTGTTTTTTAGTTTTTTACATAACCTGCCATTACCATGAAAACCACTCCAAAATGTAACGAAACAGTGACAGTAAATGAGCATTGCATCTGTGCTACTTCAGAGGCTACATCAGTGTGAATGCGCTAATCGGATATGGGTCACATGTAAATCTGAGTGAGGACAGAGAAAAAGAGATCAGATATAGAAAGAATATCAGATTTGGGTTCTTAGGGTAGCTGTGTAAACACAGCCAAAGAATCCCACAAATAAAACAGACGGTAAAAGTACAAAATTAAGTATATATTTGTTTGATCTATGTTTAAGACACCAGTTGTGTCGTCTTCATCGTCGAGGACCCCAGCAGCTGCCCTGGCCAGTCAGGCTTCAGACAGTGATGAGGATGAGCTTCCCTGGTGCTGCATCTGTAACCAGGACGCCTCCATCCTCTGTCACACCTGTGATGGGGATCATTACTGCAACCGCTGTTTCAGGTACTGCACAATACTACTACTACTACGGCCACATAACTCGAGCAAATCATTACATTGACATCTATGCAATGATTTACAAGAAAGTGAAGTTGCACGCAATTCGTCCCTGTTTGCTTCTCATGTTTTTTTCAAACATGACCTAGATAAATCTTGTATAAACTTCTGTCATTCTGCAGAGCAGTACATGTATGAAGTATTCAGTATGTTAAATGATCAATCTGCTCTCCGTTTCCCCAAGGAGGGCCATGATACGTTTGACAGGAAAGAGGGCCGCACAGCTAGTTACACAGCACCTATGATAAACAAGAAGAAGAAGAAGAAGAAGACTACGTGAGACTGCAGGCGCTGGCATCAATATTTCCTGGAGTCACTCTAAAAGATGTGTACTATACCTTTTTAAGAGGCTTTACAGTATTTTTGGAATTCTGAAGGATCACAAAGCGAAGGCTTATCCAAACACTACTACCTGTCTTTAGGGTTGCAAAATTCTGTTAACTTTCCCAAAGTGCCCTGGTTTTCCAGAAATCCTGGTTGGAAGATTGCTGGAATTACGAGGGAATAAGCAGTGGTGTAAAGTACTTACTAAAGAAAATAATGTACTTTTTACTCCATTTTCCCTGACACCCAAAAGTACTCGTTACGTTTTGAATGCTTAGCAGGACAGAAAAATTGTCTAATTCACGCACTTATCAAGAGAACATCCATGGTCATCCCTACTGCCTCTGATCTGGCAGACTCACTAAACACACTTGCTTCGTTTGTAAATTATGTCTGAGTGTTGGAGTGTGCTCCTGGCTATCCGTAAATTAAAAAAAGAAGACAATGGTGCCGTCTGGTTTGCTTAATACAAGGAATTTGAAATGATTTCTACTTTTACTTTCGGTACTTAAGTATATTTTAGCAATTACATTTACTTTTGATACTTAAGTGTATTTAAAAACAAATAATTTTAGACTTTTACTCAAGTAGTATTTTACTGGGTGACTTTGACTTTTACTTGAGTTATTTTCTATTAAGGTATCTTTACTTTTAATCAAGTATGACAATTGGGTACTTTTACCACCACTGGGAATAAGCATTAAATCCGGTAATCCTCGAACCAGGATTTCTGGAAAACCAGGGAATTTTTGGAAATTTACAAGAATTTTGCAACCCTACAGTACCTGTTTTACAAAGAGACTATGAAGAAACCCTGATTATGTTGCTAATCTAGTGTAATACAAATCAAATCAAATCAAATTGTATTGGTCACATGCGCTGAATACAACAGGTGCAGACATTACAGTGAAATGCTTACTTACAGCCCTTAACCAACAGTGCATTTATTTTTAACAAAAAAAGTAAAAATAAAAGAACAACAAAAAAAAGTGTTGAGAAAAAAAAAAAAGAGCAGAAGTAAAATAAAGTGACAGTAGGGAGGCTATATATACAGGGGGGTACCGTTGCAGAGTCAATGTGCGGGGGCACCGGCTAGTTGAGGTAGTTGAGGTAATATGTACATGTGGGTAGAGTTAAAGTGACTATGCATAAATAATTAACAGAGTAGCAGCAGCGTAAAAAGGATGGGGTGGGGGGGGCAGTGCAAATAGTCCGGGTAGCCATGATTAGCTGTTCAGGAGTCTTATGGCTTGGGGGTAGAAGCTGTTGAGAAGTCTTTTGGACCTAGAATTGGCACTCCGGTACCGCTTGCCGTGCGGTAGCAGAGAGAACAGTCTATGACTAGGGTGGCTGGAGTCTTTGACAATTTTGAGGACCTTCCTCTGACACCGCCTGGTATAGAGGTCCTGGATGGCAGGAAGCTTGGCCCCAGTGATGTACTGGGCCGTACGCACTACCCTCTGTAGTGCCTTGCGGTCGGAGGCCAAGCAGTTGCCATACCAGGCGGTGATGCAACCAGTCAGGATGCTCTCGATGGTGCAGCTATAGAATTTTTTGAGGATCTGAGGACCCATGCCAAATCTTTTCAGTCTCCTGAGGGGGAATAGGCTTTGTCGTGCCCTCTTCACGACTGTCTTAGTGTGTTTGGACCATGATAGTTCGTTGGTGATGTGGACACCAAGGAACTTGAAGCTCTCAACCTGTTCCACTACAGCCCCGTCGATGAGAATGGGGGCGTGCTCAGTCCTCTTTTTTTTCCTGTAGTCCACAATCATCTCCTTTGTCTTGGTCACGTTGAGGGAGAGGTTGTTGTCCTGGCACCACACGGCCAGGTCTCTGACCTCCTCCCTATAGGCTGTCTCATCGTTGTCGGTGATCAGGCCTACCACTGTTGTGTCGTCTGCAAACTTAATGATGGTGTTGGAGTCGTGCCTGGCCATGCAGTCATGGGTGAACAGAGATTACAGGAGGGGACTGAGCACGCACCCCTGAGGGGCCCCCGTGTTGAGGATCAGTGTGGCAGATGTGTTGTTACCTACCCTTACCACCTGGGGGCGGCCCGTCAGGAAGTCCAGGATCCAGTTGCAGAGGGAGGTGTTTAGTCCCAGGATCCTTAGCTTAGTGATGAGCTTAGAGGGCACTATGGTGTTGAATGCTGAGCTGTAGTCAATGAATAGCATTCTCACGTAGGTGTTCCTCTTGTCCAGGTGGGAAAGGGCAGTGTGGAGTGCAATAGAGATTGCATCATCTGTGGATCTGTTGGGGCGGTATGCAAATTGGAGTGGGTCTAGGGTTTCTGGGATAATGCTGTTGATGTGAGCCATGACCAGCCTTTCAAAGCACTTCATGGCTACAGACGTCAGTGCTACGGGTCGGTAGTCATTTAGGCAGGTTATCTTAGAGTCCTTGGGCACGGGGACTATGGTGGTCTGCTTGAAACATGTTGGTATTACAGACTCAGTCAGGGACATGTTGAAAATGTCAGTGAAGACACTTGCCAGTTGGTCAGCACATGCTCGGAGTACACGTCCTGGTAATCCGTCTGGCCCTGCGGCCTTGTGAATGTTGACCTGCTTAAAAGTCTTACTCACATCGGCTACGGAGAGCGTGATCACATAGTCATCCGGAACAGCTGGTGCTCTCATGCATGCTTCAGTGTTGCTAATACACAGTAATATGTCAAGTGTAATTATAGATTCCTTCAAAATGGCTATACTATAAGTAACATTATGGGGTTGCATTAGCATAATTTAATGCTTGCGATAGCTACATAATAACTGTATTGTAGATTCACATGACGTTCACATATAATCCAGTAATCCAATCAATATCAGTCAATTACTTGTGGACTATGCATTGCCAATAATATGTAATATCTGTTTAATATCGACTTACATGTCACGATCGTCATATATAGAGGAGGACCAAGGCGCAGCGTTGAAGGCGAACATGTTTATTTATAGACTGATCACACGATCAAAACAACAAAACGATGACGTGACAGTCAATGGTAATACACAAACCAAATACGAACAAGAAACCACACCAAATGAATGCCTAACGGCTACCTAAGTATGACTCCCAATCAGAGACAACGAGCTACAGCCGTCTCTGATTGGGAGCCACCCTGGCCAACATAGAATTACAAAACCAGAAAGTGAAACCTAGAACACACATAGACTATACACACCCTGGCTCAACATATTAGAGTCCCCAGAGCCAGGGCGTGACAGTACCCCCCCCTAAAGGCGCGGACTCCGACCGCGCCCACCAAATACCACAGGGGGGTGACCGGGTGGGCACTCCGCTTAGGCGGCGGATCCGGCTCCGGCCCTGATCCCCGCTCCCTCTCTAACCCCCCAAAGTACCCCTGGTCCGGTCTGGCCCCGCTGGCCGGAGCTGGACTGCACACTGGTGGAGCGGATTGCTCTAGCTCCGGCGTGAAGCATCTGACCGGTGCCGGACCAGCCGCCGGTGGAACAGGCACGGGCTGTGCCGGACTGACGACGCACACCACTGGCTTGGTGTGGGGAGCAGGAGCGGGCCGAGCCGGGCTGTCAAATCGCACCACTGACTTGGTGCGGGGAGCAGGAACGGGCCGAGCCGGGCTGACGAAGCGCACCACTGACTTGGTGCGGGGAGCAGGAACGGGCCGAGCCGGGCTGACGAAGCGCACCACTGACTTGGTGCGGGGAGCAGGAACGGGCCGAGCCGGGCTGACGAAGCGCACCACTGACTTGGTGCGGGGAGCAGGAACGGGCCGAGCCGGGCTGACGAAGCGCACCACTGACTTGGTGCGGGGAGCAGGAACGGGCCGAGCCGGACTGACGAAGCGCACCACTGACTTGGTGCGGGGAGCAGGAACGGGCCGAGCCGGGCTGACGAAGCGCACCACTGACTTGGTGCGGGGAGCAGGAACAGGCCGGACCGTACTGGGGACACACACCACTGGTCCTACGCAGGGATCTGGAATGGGCCGGACCGGACTGGTAACACACCCCAGTACCTCTCGCCGTGCCTCTACACCTTCCACCCCCTCTTCGACCAGTGGCCCCCGTAACCTGGCGGCCTCCTCTGCCAATCCGCTGGGCCGCTCTGCCGCGGTCTCCTGCTGGCCCGTCGTCCACGGCGTTAGCCCCCCCCTAAAAATGTTCTGGGCCGTCTCTCCTACCCGTGGACCAGGTCTCCATGTCCCTCGCCAGCCTTTCGCCCTTCTGCCTCAATGTCAAGCCCTTCTCTTCCTCATTCGGCTTGACCCAGTCGAGGAGGCGAAGGAGATCTGCTAGAGATCTCCCTGGCGATGGCTCCTGGACACGCTGCTTGGTCAAGTCTTGGTGGTTTCTTCTGTCACGATCGTCATATATAGAGGAGGACCAAGGCGCAGCGTTGAAGGCGAACATGTTTATTTATAGACTGATCACACGATCAAAACAACAAAACGATGACGTGACAGTCAATGGTAATACACAAACCAAATACGAACAAGAAACCACACCAAATGAATGCCTAACGGCTACCTAAGTATGACTCCCAATCAGAGACAACGAGCTACAGCCGTCTCTGATTGGGAGCCACCCTGGCCAACATAGAATTACAAAACCAGAAAGTGAAACCTAGAACACACATAGACTATACACACCCTGGCTCAACATATTAGAGTCCCCAGAGCCAGGGCGTGACATTACATTTAATTTGTGAGGTTAGTCTAACTTACTATCACAAAATGTTTAACATTATTGTCTTTTAGCATTACCCACCCTAACCCTTTGGATTTTGGTCCAATTAAATAAAGTTATCTGGGCAATTTGATGTGCTACCTCAATTGTAGTGCACTTGAATTGGCTTGCAGATTTCTTATTTGTTGTCATGATACTGAGATGTTGAGTTGGTAACAACACACTCATGCACGTCGCACAAACACAAGTTGCTCATTTGGGATGATGTACGGTCCCAGAT